TTCCTGGGAATGCAGCCCAGAGGGTCTCAGCCTCATTTTACTCAGCCCCTGTTCGAGATGGAGTCGCTGTGGTTGAAACGCCTCCGACAAAGGGAGTTTGAGTGTAGACTAAGTGCTCGTCTTAGTCAGTTCAGGCTGCTGTAACAAAATGCCTGAGACAGGGTGGCTTGTCGACAACAGACATTTATTTCCCACAGCCTGGTGAGTCCAAAATCAAGGCTCCTGCGGGTTCAGGGCCTCGAAAGGCCCACTGCTTGGTTCACACATGGCAGTCTTCTCGCTGCGTCCTCACACGATGGGAGGGGCGAGGCAGCACCCTGGAGTCCATTTTTAAGGGCATTAATCCATTCACACAGATTTCAAAGTCTGAATGCAGAGTGCATCATCATGACATCGTAAGGCAAGTAAACTGGAGGAAAGCATTTGAAGACAACATGACAAACAACAAGTTTGTATCCTTAATATGTAAAGAGCATATTCAAATCAATATGAAAAACTGATATCTGTATACAACAGATTGGCATGAATAAAAAATTCAAGAAAGAAGACACAGAAGCAACAGGGCCGTAGTGGAAGCAACATCACTAATTACCCAAGATATGCAAACAAAACAAAAATATTTCGTGTTCATTGGGTCAGAAAAGACTAAAACTAATTGCAATAGCTGATGCCAATGAGGGTCTGGGCGATGGACCCTCAGGGCCCTCTGGGGACTGGCAAGTGTCCACCGTTTGAAGCTTCTGGGGGCAGCTTGGTGAAAGTGCGAAAGGCTTTCACATTTGGAGATGTTTGCTCCGTGAAGAAAGCCTGTGCTCCCGGGGCCTGAGATGAGGGCCGAGCCCCACAGACACACAGCGCTGAGCTGCTCCTGCTAGGAGGGTGACAGGAGTCACTCCCGCCGCGCGCTTCCCCACCCTCGCCTCCCTGTGGGAGGAGTCCCTGCCTCCACCTCCCCCCACGCCCCCATCAGGGTCGTTTGCTTTTTGGTTTATGCTGGAGGAGCAGTGACAACAGACCCAGCCCCTTTATAGGGCAGGGGGTGGGGACCCACACAGTGAAATGGCACCACACAGCCTGTCCACGTCACTGTGAAATATGCACAGCACAATGTTAAGTACTCTTCAAAAGGAACTTCTGTGTGTTAGGACTCATTTTGTTTCAAAATACATGTATGACATTATTTTTTTATTTTTATTTTTTTATTATTTTTTTTTTTTGCCAAATCTCCTGTAGTTCCTATTTTTTTTTCAGTGACACTTAAATGTATAAAATTTGCTGTCACCTACTTATTCCCTTTAATATCATTTTGTGAAATTGTCCATTTTCCATTGTTAAGGATGAAAGCTTTTTCCCTTTTTTTTTTCTTGCTAAGAAAATAGGCAAGAATATCTGCCCATTTCATTCATTAATGTATCCCAACCACCTAGAACAATCCCTGGAACAAAGGTGGTAATTATTTCTCATTATGAAATGAATAAATGAAGAAAATGAATTACTTATTCAAATAATATATTTCTTGAAAAACTGCCCTTTTAAGAGCAACTATAATAAAGAGCTCTATGAAATTATAGTTTCTGTATGAATGTTGTTCAGGATAATTTTTTTTTTTTAATAGTTCTAATGGCTCTGCTGAGGCTGCCAATGAAAACGCTGGCTAAACTGTTCCAGAGAACCTTCTACCAGAGCTCAACAAAACCTGCCAAATCTCTACCCACCACCTCCTCTTTTTTTTTTTTTTTTTTGAGAAGAAGAAGGGGGGAAAAAAAAAAGAGGGAAAAAGGAATATTACTTCATTCCTAAAATGGGTTTCAATAATGGCCGATCAATATTTTGAGTGTTTAAAGTGGTTAATGCATATTTTATGTGTTTAAAATGGAGACCTCTATTGTGTTTATTTGTTCTGGCTCTGAGTTCAAGTCCTGGATATCGTTATCAATTTGTTGTCTCGTTGAATCTAAATCTCACTATGTGTCTTATGTATCTGGGTGTTAAGATCTCTTATTGTTACATTAATCCTTTTACCCTTGCATCCTTGTAGCTTTGAAATCTATTTTATTAAGTGTGAGAATTGCAACTCCTGCTTTTTATTTATTTATTTTTGCTCTCCATTTGGTTGGTGAGTTTTTTTCCATCCCCTTGTTTTGAGTCTTTGTATATCTTTAGATATATCGTTAGATTTTGTGGATAATGTATATTTTGTGTGTTTAAAATGGAGAGCTCTATTGAGTTTATTTGTTCTGGATCTTAGTTCCAGTCCTGGATATCGTTATCAATTTTCTGTCTCGTTGAATCTAAATCTCATTCTGGGTCTTATGTATCTGGGTGTTAAGATCTCTTATTATTACATTAATCCTTTTATCCTTGTAGCTTTGAAATCTATTTTGTCAAATGTGAAAATTGCAACTCCTACTTTTTATTTATTTATTTTTGCTCTCCATTTGGTTGGTACTTTTTTTTTTCCAACCCTTTATTTTGAGTCTATATATCTTTGGATATACCATTAGATTTTGTCTGTATCTTTTGATTGGGAGATTTGGTCGATTTAAATTTAGGGTTGCTGCCATTTGATATTAACTGGCTATTTTGTCCTTTCGTTGATAAAAATTCTTCTTTATGTTAATGCTCTTTACTTTTTGGTGTATTTTTAGAAAGGGTCATACTGGTTGTTCCTTTCTGTGTATAATGCTTCTTTTAGAAGTTCTTGTAAAGCAGGCCTGGTGGTAATAAAATCTCTGAGTACTTGCTTGTTCCTAAAAGATTTTATTTTTCCTTCAAATGTAAAGCTTAAATTGGCAGGATATGAAATTCTGGGCTGAAAGTTCTGTTCTTTAAGTATATTGAATATTGGCCCCCACTCTCTTCTAGCTTGTAGGGTTTCCGTTGAGAGATCTGCTGTAAGCCTAATAGGCTTACCTTTATGGGTAACTTGATCTTTCTCTCTGGCTGCCCTTAATATTTTCTCCTTCATTTCGATCTTGGTGAATCTAATGATTATGTGCCTTGGGGTTGGTCTTCTTAAGGAATATCTTTGTGGTGTTCTCTGTATTGCCTGGGGTTGAATAGTGTCCTGCTTTGCTAAATTAGGAAAATTTTCCTGGATAATGTCCTGGAGAGTATTTTCCAGCTTGAATTCATTCTCTCCGTCACATTCAGGTACACCAATCAAGCGTATATTAGGTCTTTTCACATAGTCCCATATTGCTTGGAGACTTTGCTCATTCCTTTTTATCCTATTTTCTCTATTCTTGTCTTGTCGTTTTGTTTCATTAAGTTGGTCTTCGACCTCTGATACCCTTTCTTCTGCTTGATCCATTCGGCTGTTTAAGCTTGTACATATTTCACTAAGTTCTCGTGTTGTATTTTTCAACTCCATAAGTTCATTTGTATTCCTCTCTATATTGTCTATTCTTTTCAACATTTCATCTAACCTTTTTTCCAAGTTCTTAGTTTCTTTACATTGGGTTAGAACGAGTTCCTTTAACTCCCAGAAGTTTCTTATCATCCACCTTTTAAAGCCTACTTCAGATAATGGAACACAGTCCTTTTCCATCAGGGCTTGTTCCATTACTGATGAGTCCTTTTCCATCAGGGCTTGTTCGGTTGCTGATGAGTCCTTTTCCATCAGGGCTTGTTGCGTTGCTGATGGGTTCTGATTTTGAGTATACTCGGCCTTCTTAGGCTGTTTTTTCCCTTCATTGTAGATGAACCGCCTTTCTAATTAGGTTTCTGAGTCGAGGTCCGATTTATTGATTCCCAGTGCTGGGATCCGAGCAACCCACTGTGGTGGCCTAAATAGCAGCGGTAAGACTGATGGTGCTCTTCTGCCCGGGAATCTCTGGTCTGGCTTCCCTCTTGAGTCCGCAACAAGCAGCTCTGACTTCCCGGAGCTCCAAACTCTGGTCAGTAGGGGAAGCAGTCCCGTTGGCTCTGCATGAAGAGCTGCTGCGCCGAGACGCCAGCAAAACCGCTGCGGCGGCCACAAGAGTCGCGCTGGCGACCCGTGGGGCTCCTCCACTGGGAATCGGCTGATCGGTGAGTGACGAAAATTTGTCTAAAAGTGTGGCGTCGTCTCGTTCTCTGGGCTTTCACTGGGAGCTACAATCCTGAGCTGTTAGTGGTCGGCCATCTTGGATCGATCGTATGACGTTAATATGTAGAAAATTTTAAAGCTGTAAAAGCGTGAACAGAATGCCCAAAGTGTGGGCACAGAGGGCGCTGCCCTGCACACGCTCCTGCTTCACGCGAGAGCCTTCGCTCTGCTTACTCTCTTCCTTTCCTTTCACGGGAAGCTTGGGTCACCTTCGCAGCCAGTGAAGCCATGTGTGTTTTCCTTGCTGAGGAGGAGAACCCCCCATCCTTCTGCATGGCCAGTGCTCCTCTCAGCTGAGAGCAGGGCTGTCTGGGGCCATGACATCCATCAGACTCTCCTGGCCCTAGGGAAGAGCTGTCCGGCGCACGTGCCAGCTGCACCACGGCATCTCCCATGAACAAGGTCTGCAGGTGGTGACTGGCTGGGCGCATGCCCCTGCCCTGAGCTGGAGTCACCCGGGTGGTTGCTGCTTCCCCACCCCGAGGGTGAAAGCCTAGCCCACGCTCCAAGGGAATGGAGCAGCTGCCTGCCCCAAGCTTCCCTCCTCTGGAGAAGGCATCTCCTCTTCTCCCTCACATGATCCCTGATGACCTCCATGCTCCTTGACATGGTTCCCAGGATCCAGCTCTCCTGGGGTTCCCACTCCCAGTTCCCCAGTCCTCGCCATCTATGAGCTTCAGCCTCTGCTGACCCCTGCCAGCCCCAGGAGAGGCCACAGCTGACCCCTGCCAGCCCCAGAACAGGCCACATTGCAGCCATGAGGGTCAGGGAAGGGGGAGCTGTCTGACCTTGGGCTGAAGGGTAAGCCCAGGGACAGAGGCCATTTGTTTGGAAGAATTGAGCAGGAAACTGTTTTCTTATCGGGCTGGGAAGGGTTCCGAGGCTTGTGGTGTCTTTGTTTTCATTCAAGGCTCCAGCTGGTGCCCTGGCAGGAACCAGAGTTCACTCAAGCCTTCACAGAAAAGTGCCTTGCAGAGGCGCTGGCCAGGGCGAGGCGAGCAAGGATTGCTTGGAACTCGGAGAGGAGGGCCCGCAGTGCACGCGGTCGCCACCTCTGGCCTGAGGAGCAGGGCGGAGCCACACTGCTGGGTCCCAGGGAGGCCACACGGGGCACTCCGCAGAAGCTGGGCCTGAAGACCGAAGGTCCCACCTCTTGCCCCATGCAGGGAAGGCCTGAAGAATCAGCACCCCAACCTCAGCCTCTCTCTCCAGCCCCCTCTGCATCCCAGGGGAGCCTCCATCGGTGGAGCCCAACTCAAAAACATGGGCAAGGGAGGCTGGACACAAGGCCCCAGTCAACTTGGGATGGGTGGAGTGGGGTGGGAAGAGCTGGACAGGGACCTGGAGGGCAGCGGGTCCCACCAAGAGCCACCTGCGGACATCAGGGGCCTCATCTGGGAATGCAGTGCCGGGATGCTCTTGAACAAATGAAGTTTTGGCAACTCCGGACTCTGGCTATGATCAGCTGGGACCACAGAGCTGTGACCCCCAGCTCCTGTCCACGCTGGCTCTCACGGCCACTGGGCTCCCTCACCTGGTCTCCAGCCTGCCCTCTGCCTTCGAGTCCGCCATGCCCCACCCAGCCATTGTCATTTGCAAATATCATAATATCTCCTTCCTCTAACAGCTCTGGTTCCACAAAGCCTGTTATAAGGAGGAAATGCAACATGAATCTGCTGCAGGAAACCGGGAGGCGGCGAGGCTCAGCGCCTTTGGCAGGGAAGAGCACAGAAAAGCCAAATACGATTTTTTTCTATTAACTTTATATCCACAGGCTCTTGTCAAGGAGATAGCTGATCAGATCCCAAAATGAGCAGTTATGAGGGCTCACTGTCGGAGCCAGGTGCCTCTGGCAGAGGAATTTAATTTGGAGAAGTGTCCTATCTCAAGTATGGGGCTGGCCTGCTTTCTGGGGCAGGAGGCTGGCCCACCAGGGAGAGGCTTCTCTAGGGGATGTGTTCCTGTGGCAGAGGCGGCCCCCGGTCAAGCAGAGGATCCAGAGAGCTTTGGAGGCTCCACCCTCAAGGTCCCCAAGCATGCAGCCTTTGAGGTTGGGGCTGGGGAGTCACAGTGCAGCAGAGCCCAGGGCGTGCCACGTGGACAGCATGGCCACCGACTGGACACAGAGAGGATAGGCCCTGGAGTGGCAGCCCACCAGGGGCACACCAGCAAGTGTGCAAAGAAGGCAAAGGTGCCCTCTCAGGACTGTCAAAATGGGAAGATGCTCCCCCTTCTAGGGGAGGTCCTCGAAGAGGCCCCTTCCTGAACTCAGCCAGGGTCAGGGCAGGCACCTGGGAGCAGGTGCTGGCTGGACCCGACCCTCAGCCCTGGGGTGCAACTGATGACAGCTGGACCCACCCTCACCCCGGTGCATATCCCGAGGGGACACCTGCAGGGCCCCTCACTAAGGCCATGGCCCAGGTGGTGACAGGTGGAATCAGAAGAAAGGGAATGAATGGGCTCTGGAATCAGAGCACCCATGTGCCTGCTCATGGGGCAGGGAGGCTGGCAGCCTCCACACGGGGTGGACCTGGAAGTTTGCTGAGGGATGGACTCACTGCTGAGTCTCCTGGCCAGGAAAGATGCCTGCAGGGCCCACAGCAGGGCAGGAAGGAGCTGGGGGCTCAGTGGAGCCAGTGTGAGAAGCAGGGAGGTGTCCATGAGCTGCGGCCCCTTCCTCAATCCGGATCTCCAGGTGAGCTGACAGCCCCTTCCTCAATCCGGATCTCCAGGTGAGCTGACAGCCCCTTCCTCAATCCGCATCTCCAGGTGAGCTGACAGCCCCTTCCTCAATCCGCATCTCCAGGTGAGCCGACAGCCCCTTCCTCAATCCAGATCTCCAGGTGAGCTGACAGCCCCTTCCTCAATCCGCATCTCCAGGTGAGCTGACAGCCCCTTCCTCAATCCGCATCTCCAGGTGAGCTGACAGCCCCTTCCTCAATCCGCATCTCCAGGTGAGCCGACAGCCCCTTCCTCAATCCAGATCTCCAGGTGAGCTGACAGCCCCTTCCTCAATCCGGATCTCCAGGTGAGCTGCGGCCCCTTCCTCAATCCGGATCTCCAGGTGAGCTGACAGCCCCTTCCTCAATCCGGATCCCCAGGTGAGCTGACAGCCCCTTCCTCAATCCGGATCTCCAGGTGAGCTGACAGCCCCTTCCTCAATCCCGATCTCCAAGTGAGCTGACAGCCCCTTCCTCAATCCCGATCTCCAGGTGAGCTGACAGCCCCTTCCTCAATCCCGATCTCCAGGTGAGCTGACAGCCCCTTCCTCAATCGGGATCTCCAGGTGAGCTGACAGCCCCTTCCTCAATCCCGATCTCCAGGTGAGCTGACAGCCCCTTCCTCAATCCGGATCTCCAGGTGAGCTGACAGCCCCTTCCTCAATCCAGATCTCCAGGTGAGCTGACAGCCCCTTCCTCAATCCAGAGCTCCAGGTGAGCTGACAGCCCCTTCCTCAATCCCGATCTCCAGGTGAGCTGACAGCCCCTTCCTCAATCCCGATCTCCAGGTGAGCTGACAGCCCCTTCCTCAATCGGGATCTCCAGGTGAGCTGACAGCCCCTTCCTCAATCCCGATCTCCAGGTGAGCTGACAGCCCCTTCCTCAATCGGGATCTCCAGGTGAGCTGACAGCCCCTTCCTCAATCCCGATCTCCAGGTGAGCTGACAGCCCCTTCCTCAATCGGGATCTCCAGGTGAGCTGACAACCCCTTCCTCAATCCGGATCCCCAGGTGAGCTGACAGCCCCTTCCTCAATCCGGATCCCCAGGTGAGCTGACAGCCCCTTCCTCAATCCAGATCTCCAGGTGAGCTGACAGCCCCTTCCTCAATCCAGATCTCCAGGTGAGCTGACAGCCCCTTCCTCAATCCGGATCTCCAGGTGAGCTGACAGCCCCTTCCTCAATCCGGATCTCCAGGTGAGCTGACAGCCCCTTCCTCAATCGGGATCCCCAGGTGAGCTGACAGCCCCTTCCTCAATCCCGATCTCCAGGTGAGCTGACAGCCCCTTCCTCAATCCGGACCTCTGGGTGAGCTGCGGGCCCCTGTCTTTGTCCTGCCCATGGATGGTCCAGATCCTGGGAAGGGTCAGGCTCCCCTAGGCCCCAGAGGCAGTGCTGCCAGGCTCTGGAGTTCCAGCACAGTGTGTGCCATCCAGTGACCCCAGGCCCTCTGCAGACACCTGCTCTCCATTCGTGTTCTCCCCCTCTCCTCACTGATTCCCTCCAGGACTCCTCCCCTCAGCCTGGAATCCACCTCACTGGCGCCCCAGCTCCTGCCTTCTGCAGCTCTGCCCTGTGAGTGTCCTGAACTCTCTCCAGTGAGGCTGGGCCTGGGGCTGAGCTCTTCCTTCCGAGGCACTGACCTTGGATTGCTGGGACAGAATGAGTTTGGCATACCTGCAGGATGTCTGTTCTAACACATGCCCCGGGCAGCTCTCCTAGACCTGATGTCAGCAGAATTGGCCTCTCCACCAGGAACCTGTGTGGGAGCTGAAAACGTGGCTGGGAGGGCGCCCAGGAACCTGTGTGGGAGCTGAAAACGTGGCTGGGAGGGCGCCCAGGAACCTGTGTGGGAGCTGAAAACGTGGCTGGGAGGGCGCCCAGGAACCTGTGTGGGAGCTGAAAACGTGGCTGGGAGGGCGCCCAGGAACCTGTGTGGGAGCTGAAAACGTGGCTGGGAGGGCGCCCAGGAACCTGTGTGGGAGCTGAAAACGTGGCTGGGAGGGCGCCCAGGAACCTGTGTGGGAGCTGAAAACGTGGCTGGGAGGGGATGTGGATGTCAGCCCTGTGTTCCCATCTCCGCCAAATGTTGGAGCAGATCCTCTCACAGGCTCCAAATGTGCACGTGCAGAAGGGTTTCGGGAACTTTTGCAGCGCTGCCTCCACAACTCAAGTGAGTTGTTTGTTTTAATGTCACCAGCTGACTTTGGGCGCTGGAGTCCTTTGCAGAACGCCCACTGTGCCCTCCCTAGTCCCTGCCTCCCTTTGACCATCGGCTTGTCTGATGGATGCCGGCATCAAACCCGCAGCGTCCATGACAAGGACCTGGGTTGTTGGCCGCAGAAACCTGATCAATGCGGAGAGGCTCATGAACAATCCCCCACCTCTGGGCATGCCAGGCAGAGCAGGGCAGGGGCGGTGGGCCGGGCTGCTCAGGATGAGGCGGGGGAGAGCCAGCTGCGAGCCTCCTTGGCTCAGAGGTCTCCTTTGCCGTAAGCAGTAAGACCCAGGCCCTCTAGAGGGAAGCAGACGGTCGGGGTCCAATGTGCCCCCCAGTAAAACAGTGTTGGGGGTCTCCTTACCTCAAGCGATGCCCCCTTGGGCCCTTAGCCAACCTGGGGTTCCAAAAACAGATGTGGGAGGAGGGACTTCCTGAACAAAGCATCCTCCCAAGACTGAGAATCCCATAACCCTTCACACTTACTCCCGGGGGGAGAAGAGTCTCTTCCGCTCAGGCCAAGGTGACTGTGGGTTTGACGAGCTGTTGAATTTCCCACTGGAAATTAACAGCCCAGAGCCCGGCTTCCGTGGCCGCGTCAGGCAGTGGTCACAGCACAGACGCGGGAGTGAGAGGGCTGGCACGGGGTTTGTGGCGTGTGGGGTGCGGGGAGCTTCTTATTCACTCTGCGTCTCCATTTTGTTTTCTGCAGAACGGGCTTTGGTGTGGGCTGAACAAGAACAGGGCAGGCACAGAGGGTGCTCTGTGTGAGTTGACGTTCTGTATTTTCATCCTTCAGACATGGGGCTGATAGAATCTCCTTTATAAAGGCGGCGATCATTTCTGCCCAGAAGCTCTTCCAGTTCCTCATCACTTGGCCTGAGGCTCCACTCCTGACCCCAGAACTGTGCCGGGCTCCCTCAGGCAGCAGGCTCCAGGAAAACAAAGACTCTTTGCTCTATTTTTTTAAATGGAATAAGTGAGTCACATTCTTTTCAGAAGTAACATTCCAACGTTAGCACATAGGATGAAGTCACAAATAGCAGAGTGACCACCCGCGACACCTTCGTAGCCCTTGAAGTGCAGTGACAGACACAACGCCCCTCCCTGAACCCATGGGTGGTGCTTCCTGCAGCTGGGACCAGGTTCCCCTGTCTCCAGCTGAGCTCCAGGCCAGGGAGAGGGACTGCATTGAAAGGCCATGTTGCATGAAAAGCGTGGTTTCTCTGTGGCACAAACACGCCCCCCGGCTCCCTGGAGGAATGGAGACCCTACGTGGCAGGCAGTGACCACTAATCGGGTCCATAGCTTCCCGGTCAGGCTCTGCAGGAGCCACGGCCTCACCCGGGTCCTAGGCTGCTCACCCCCATGGCAACCAAGCTGGTGGAGAAAGTAAATCACCGCACGCACAGCGAGAGCTCTGCTGGACGTTGAGAGGGTCATGGCAACACCTGTCGTCTGCATTTACCTGTGAGCTGCGGCTCTGGGAGCGCAGCAGCCCCAGTGCGTCCTCACGAGCCTCCTGTCTGAATAGAACAGATGCTGTTGCAGGCATGGGCTAGTCGAGGGACAGAACTGACTCAGGGTATTTCACAGGGAGGAAATGCCATGCAGAGAAGTGGCGGCATAGCACAGGCGCCAAACCCAAGGGCACAGGGCAGCCCAGAGCTTAGCAGCAGCAGGAAGGCAGCACCACTGCTCTTTATCTTGGGTTGGAGGAAGAAAGACGGAGGCAAAGCTGGGGCTTCAGTAACGGCAGGTGCTCCCAGAGACAGAGAGGCATGAGGCTGTGGCCTCCCATCTCTCCCGCCCTCCGTGTCCTGCTGAGGCCTCCCGTTGGCCAGGGCGGCTGTGGGTGGGCCTGTTCAGGTTCTTGACATTAGTGCACAAAAAAATTTGGCAGCAAGTTCAAAGTAAGAGTGGGCAAAGAAGTTCATTGCAAAGCGGAAGTAGTGGGGTCGGAGCGGGCGGCTCTGGAATGAGGGCCAGGCTGGCCCTGGAAACTGCTCTGATGGGGTCTCCCGTGATCATTGCTGACGGAGCAGGACGCTGTCGTGCTGTGGGTGGGCTCCCGGGCCTGCACGTGCCATCACTGTACATGCTGGTGCATACCTTGCCTGTCTGATTTGCATTTTAAATCTCAGCCCAGGATTGTGCTTTTCACTATTATGGTGAGCCGAGTTCACCATAAGGCTATGGTTCTTGGCTCGGCCTTGGGAACTTTTCCTCCAACCAAGTCACTCCTCCTTCAACAAGAAAGTTGCCCGCTGCAGGTGACCAGAGATATCTGCACCAGCCCCTTTCCGGAGAGTCTGTTACTGACCAGGGCCCTGTGCTAACCCATTGGCCCCATGTGTCTTGCTCTTAGCCCCCTGCAGGTCACGCCCATTCCCTCATTACCCGCCGCTGGAGAACTGTCCAGAAATGGGGGATGAGGAGGCCGGGGAGTGCAGCACCCCGGGAAGCAAATAGGAGCAAATCCAGGTCAGCAAATGGGTCCAAGGGCAAAAGCAAGCGGCCCACATGTCCATGCATCTTCGAGTTTCCTGGAAGGGAAGTTTAAATGTTTGCTGTTTTTAATACATTGCGGGGCTTGGGGGCCAATATTTTATCATGGTAAAGTACGCATAACACAAATTGACTATCCGAACCATTTTTAAGTGTACAGTTCGATGATACTGAGTACATTGCTTTTGCTATGTAGCCATCACCACCATCCATCCCACCATCCCTCCCTCCATCCCTCCATCCATCTCTTCTTCCATCCCTCCATCCATCTATCCCTTCATCCCTACATCCATTCCTACATCCACCAATCCTTCCATCCACTCCTCCATTCATCCATCCATCCATCCTTCCATCCATCCCTCCATCTATCATCCATCCCTCCATCCACCCTCCATCCATCCTTCCATTCATCCCTCCATGTGTCAATCTCTCCCTCCCTCCCTCCCTCCCTCCCTCCCTCCCTCCATCCATCCACGAATCCATCCATCCCTCCATCCATCAATCCCTCCCTCCACTCTTTTATCCCTCCATCAATCCATCTATCCATTCATCCATCCTTCCACCCATCAATCCCTCCCTCCATCCGTTTATCCATCCATCCCTCCATCCATCAATCCCTCCCTCCACCCTTTTATCCCTCCATCAATCCATCCATCAATCCATCCATCCCTCCATCCATCAATCCCTCCCTCCACCCTTTTATCCTTCCATCAATCCCTCCATCCATCCATCCATCCTTACACCCATCAATCCCTCCCTCCATCCATTCATCCATCCATCCCTCCATCCATCAATCCCTCCCTCCACCCTTTTATCCCTCCATCAATCCCTCCATCCATCCATCCTTCCACCCATCAATCCCTCCTTCCATCCGTTCATCCATCCATCCTTCCATCCATCAATCCCTCCCTCCACCCTTTTATCCCTCCATCAATCCATCTATTCATTCATCCATCCCTCCACCCATCAATCCCTCCCTCCATCCTTTCATCCCTCCATCAATCCATCCATCCCTCCATCCATCCACCCATCAATCCCTCCCTCCATCTGTTCATCCATCCATCCCTCCATCCATCAATCCCTCCCTCCATCCGTTTATCATCCATCCCTCCATCCATCAATCCCTCCCTCCACCCTTTTATCCCTCCATCAATCCATCTATCCATTCATCTATCCTTCCACCCATCAATCCCTCCCTCCATCCATTTATCATCCATCCCTCCACCCATCAATCCCTCCCTCCATCCGTTCATCCATCCATCCCTCCATCCATCAATCCCTCCCTCCATCCTGTGAGTGGGACCCCACTGCATCCGCACCGCCTCCTCCAGGTGCATCACGCTGTGGCATGTGTTGGAGCTTCCTTCCTTCTTAGTGACTGATAAGGCAGGGGCCTCGCCTCTGTCCTTCTGGAATTTGTTTTCTATGTCCTTTATTGCTTTCCTGGCCTCTCCTTTTCTGCATTGTCTTCTTTTGTGTTTAGTCTATCGTTTGTTTAGTGAAATGTTGAAATTCCTCTCTCATTTCCTTTTGTGTATACTCTGCAGCTGTTCTCTTTGTGGCTGATATAATGAGGTTGCTACACTCTAATATGAATTTATCCCAGTTAAATAAATGTCAGTGACACAGAAACCTTCACTCCTTCACCTCTCCATTCCCACTTCCTTCAGTTGCTGATGTCACGGAATTATATCTTCATATGTCATGTGTCCAAAACCATAGACAAATAGTTTTAAATGTATTCGTCTCTTAAATTATGTAGAAAACAAAACATGGAAACACAAAACAAAGAAAACGAAGTTATAATAATGCTGACAACTTTGTAAAACACAAAGAGAAACTATTTTAACTGGATCTTAATAGCATGTTTGTTTGACAAGATGAGGAGTAATCTAAACGCTGCGTAGAAGGAACTTGGTAAACAAACGGGTGCGTCTATAGCACAGAATTCTGGGCACCGTTCAGAAGAATGACGTTGGTCCATGTTCCGTATGTATGACTGTGGACCCCTATACTGTTAAGTGAAGAAAAAGGGACTGAAATAGAAGGAAAGAGGGAGAAAGAGAAACTGAAGGGAGGGAGGGAGGGAGAGAGGAAGGAAAGAGACGGGGAGGAAGGAAGGAGCAGGAAAGAGAGGGATGGAGGGCAGATGGGGAAACACAGGCCCAGCGCCAGGCAGAAGGGAGCTGCATCTGTGCGTGTGTGCTGATGTGTGTGCATGTGTGTGTGCACACCTGTGTGTGCATCTGTGCATGTGTGCCAATGCATGTGCCGATGTGTGTGTGCCTCTGTGTGTGCATGTGTGTGCCTGTGTGTGCATCTGTGCGTGTGTGCCAATGTGTGTGCCGATGTGTGTGCATGTGTGCGTGTGTGCTGTTTGTGCATCTGTGTGTGTGCCGATGTGTGTGCATGTGTGCGTGTGTGCCGATGTGTGTGCCGATGTGTGTGCATGTGTGCGTGTATGCATGTGTGTGTGCGCGCACCTGTGTGTGCATCTGTGCGTGTGTGCCAATGCGTGTGCATGTGTGTGTGCATGTGTGTGTGCCTGTGTGTACATCTGTGCGTGTGTGCCAATGTGTGTGCATGTGTGCGTGTGCCGATGTGTGTGCCAATGTGTGTGCATGTGTGCGTGTGTGCCGATGCGTGTGCTGATGTGTGTGCAAGTGTATGTGTCTGCCAATGTGTGTGCATCTGTGCGTGTGTGCCTCTGTGTGTGCATGTGTGTGCACGTGCCTGTGTGTGCATCTGTGCATGTGTGCCAATGCGTGTGCCGATGTGTGTGCATGTGTGCGTGTGTGCCAATGTGTGTGCATGTGTGCGTGTGTGCCGATGCGTGTGCCAATGTGTGTGTGTTCCTCTGTGTGTGCCTGAATGTGTGTGCGCCTGTGTGTGTGTGCACCTGTGTGCATCTGTGCGTGTGTGCCAATGCGTGTGCCGATGTGTGTGCATCTGTGCGTGTGTGCTGATGTGTGTGTATGCCTCTGTGTGTGCATGTGTGTGTGTGTGCCTGTGTGGCATGTGTAGAAGATACATGTGCCTAATCTTAAGATAACTCTTAAAGGACACTAAACAGCTCCTAAGGGTTGTGCCTCCAGGAACCAAGCTGGCGGCTAGCGATGGGGCTGGGCAGCTGTGGCTGAGATCACCAGCCGTTCCACAGGCTCGGCCCATCTTCCTTCTGGCACAGCGAGACCACATTGCTCAGCCCACGGTGGGCATGAGAATGTCTCTGGGCAGTGGTCAGGCCACAGGCCTGTCCTGTGCTGCTGTCGCCTCCCTCTCTGAGGTCTTCCAGACAGGACAAGGCCTTGTACACAGGCGACCCTTCCCCCCCACGGTGGAGCATTCTTTTGCTCTGGTGTGGCCTTTTCCAAAGCACCTCTGTGGGCATCTGCTTCATGCAAGGTCACCCCGACACTGTTAAATGCACATCCTTGGCACCATTCTGCAGAGTCAGACTCTAGGTAGAGGCCCAGGATCTGGGGTCTGTGTTCCAAGGAGCCTGGGGACACTGCCGTTGAGAGCAGTCACTTGAGAGCAGCACTCCCCAGCCAGCCTCATTCACCGGGATGATCCTCACACACCCTGACCTGGAGCCCCCGGCCATGGATATGCGACTTTGGGAGGTCCAGGGGCTCAGGAACCTGTATGCCAAGCACACATCTGTGTCCCTGATTCTTACCGTGCGGAACACTTGGGAAACTGCTTTAGGAGATCCCCCTTAGATAGTGTGGAACCCCCTCACTCTAGGGCATGAGCACACAGGGACTCCTTCCCCACCAGCTTCAGGGGCTGAGATAAAGCTACGCTGGGGGAGGAGAGCCAGGCTGTGCACACGCCGTGGCCGGGTGAGGGGCCAGCCTTGGTCACCTGCCACCAGCTGCCCTGGAGGGATCGCCAAGGAGTTTTGCATCCTGCCAACCCCCTCAGGTCATGGGGAGGCGCCTTGTCACTAGGAATGACAGAGTGGCAGCAGGGAGCTGAGACACCCTTGACTGAAATGGGTGACCTTCCTGGGGAAGTTCAGTCCACAGGCTCTGCTCAGCACCGTCCTCAACTGTTTTCTCCATCTTGAAGTCAGCATCCCAGTGAACATAGGCATGAGCTCACTGGCCAGACTGCATCGACCATTTCTCTCACTTTTCTTTCTATTCCATTTTTAGGGTTTTTTTCTCCTCTCCAAAGAAACAAGTTGTGTAAAAGTTGCAGAAGATTGAGGAGTGCTGAAAGAAATGAAAGGCATCGTTTCATCCAACCCTCAGGGAACAAGAGTCACGAAACACAGCCATGTGGATGTGTATGATGTGGGCACCCACACGTGCATATGTGTGCATAGACAGTCTCCCAGGGCATGCAGGACATACGTGTGCATAGTCTGCAGTGCATGCAGGACGTACATGTGCATAGACAGTCTCCAGGGCACGCAGGACGTACGTGTGCATAGACAGTCTCCCGGGGCATGCAGGATGTACGTGTGCATAGACAGTCTCCCGGGGCATGCAGGACGTACGTGTGCATAGTCTCCAGTGCACACAGGACGTACATGTGCATAGACAGTCTCCAGGGCACTCAGGACATACGTGTGCATAGACAGTATCCCAGGGCACGCAGGACGTACGTGTGCAGAGACAGTCTCCAGGGCACACAGGACATACCTGTGCATAGACAGTCTCCCAGGGCACACAGGACATACGTGTGCATAGACAGTCTCCAGGGCACACAGGACATACGTGTGCATAGACAGTCTCCAGGGCACACAGGACATACCTGTGCATAGACAGTCTCCAGGGCACGCAGGACATACGTGTGCATAGACAGTATCCCAGGGCACGCAGGATGTACGTGTGCATAGACAGTATCCCAGGGCACGCAGGACATACGTGTGCATAGACAGTCTCCAGGGCACGCAGGACATACCTGTGCATAGACAGTCTCCAGGGCACGCAGGACGTACGTGTGCATAGACAGTCTCCCAGGGCACTCAGGACATACATGTGCATAGACAGTCTCCCAGGGCACGCAGGACATATGTGTGCAGAGACAGTCTTCCAGGGCACGCAGGACATACGTGTGCATAGACAGTCTCCCAGGGCACTCAGGACATACGTGTGCAGAGACAGTCTCCCAGGGAACGAGGACATACGTGTGCATAGTCTCCAGTGCACGCAGGACATACGTGTGCAGAGACAGTCTCCCAGGGAACGAGGACATACGTGTGCATAGTCTCCAGTGCACGCAGGACATACGTGTGCATAGACAGTCTCCCAGGGCACTCAGGACATACGTGTGCAGAGACAGTCTCCCAGGGAACGAGGACATACGTGTGCATAGTCTCCAGTGCACGCAGGACATACGTGTGCATAGACAGTCTCCCAGGGCACTCAGGACATACATGTGCATAGACAGTCTCCCAGGGCACGCAGGACATATGTGTGCAGAGACAGTCTT